GGGTTAAACTGCCCAAGCCACCCATCATTACCTTTTTTATATAATCGATAGGTTATTCAGAGGAAATTAATAAATTGCCCAAAATTGGGCATTGTTATCAAAATGGATGGGGATTTGCAACAGGATGATTGGTACAGGGATAATTTGCCGGTTAACTTAATATTTTTATTTATAGTAAAATAATTAAATTTCTGATTCGTTACATATGCCTCTCCCTGTCATTGAGCCCCTGTGAAACAGGTTAATGCTAATACTTCATCGATCTCCTGCTGGACCTGGAGTTGAGCTTCAGTTTGTAGTGTAGCGAAATCTTCTTTCAACAGATGGCGGAGGACAAAAGGGGTAATAGACTGTGATAAAAATAAATGAGAGGGACCCTGAAGACGATATAAAAGGTGGGTTCTTTGAGCAATAATTAAAATATCGGAATGATTATGGGGGAAGAGGCGTTTAACTACATTTCTGGCCTCTTTATTCCATGCTTTCTCTTCCATTAAGGTTCCTAAAAAATAATAATATGATAGTTGGCTAATATGATAAGGACTACCTATTGAAAGCTGGGTGCATATCAACATCATTTTTTCTTCCTAGGTTTTTCCAGTGGGGAATTCTAATGAACGAGGAGTAATCTCTCTTTGATGAAGATCTTCAAGGAATTCAGGCATCCGGGAGTGCAATCGTTGGGCATCACTCTCCCTTTTTAAGTTGGGCACTTCTACGACCTGGGACTGTTGTTCCGTGAAATAAATGATGTTGTTATTAGAGACAAGACAGGTCCCCTCAAGATCTGCCTTTTCCATTTGACTTTTTAAAGCGGCTAAAGTTTTTTTAATTTGAGTAGGAATTTCAACAGACATATCTCCTCGAAGAAATGAAAGAAACAGTGGAAAAGATGCCTATAAATTTTTTTTCAATTATCTAAGGGGGTTCCACAATATTCTTGTCGAGAATGGTAGCATGACAACCGGTTTCCGTGGACCTTCTTTTTGATCACACGCCTGTCCATTGTTCGCAGTTTATACAATCTGTTTTGTAATACATCATGGATGTAATAGGGCCCGGAATTTTGAGGTTCTAACTTCGCACTGTGCGACATAGCTAATTGAGATTGATATAAAAGAACTTGATCGCCGATTTCATATGATTCTATTTTATTCCTTTTTTCGTAATATTCTTTTTGGCGATTCTGTATCTGGCCGATCTTACTTATAGTTTGCTGTCATGCTATTATTAAATCACCATATATATTTGTTATCCGCCGATATATCTGTTTTTCTAATTCTTCTTCTGTAGCAGGCTGATTCGGTAACATGACTAGGTCAGCTTCCGTAGAGAGGGTGGCGCTTCGTCCATACAGCAAGAAAAAAGGCTCGTATCCTGTAGTATGATTCCGGGTCGTTCGGTACACAAAAAGAGTGGGAGTTACATATTCGTCCCATGATTGTCCAAACTGGTTAACACATTTATTTAACATGCTACAAAGGGTACGGTTAAATCGTTCGACTAACCCATTGGTCTGGGGGTGGTATGCCGTGGACATATGATGAACGGTACTCATTCTCTTACAAAGAGTGTTAACTATTTGATTACAGAAATGAGATCCTTGATCGGATAATAACTCCTTTGGGCAACCATGCCTACAGATTAGGTCTTCGAAGATAAAATTGGCAACAGTCGTTGCATCTGCTTTTTCAATAGGACGAGCTTCAGGCTATTTCGTAAGATATTCAGTGGCTACTATGATATATCGATTATTTCTAGAAGTTATAGGAAGAGGTCCTACTATATCAATTCCTATATGGTCAAAAGCTTGCCCTATTTTGATCGGGTATAAGGGTTCCTTGGTACAAGGTTTCTTTTTCTTTTGACACCATTCACAGGTACGAACATACTCCTTAATATTATTTCCCATTTGAGGCCAATAATAATGGGTGGCAATTTTTTGGTAAGTTGCTTGGAATCCGAAGTGTCCGGAAAGCGGATCATCATGCATACTAAAAAGAATGGCCTGGATTTCACCTTTCTTTAAGACCCTTAGGGGTTGTAAAGGGTCACGTGAATTGGTCTTATATAATGACTCATTGATTACTGTAAAGTGGCGAGTGCTATGTCTGAGGTTCTTGACTTGTTTGATAGTATAGTGAGAAGGAACGACATTATGTTGGAGAAACTTAAGATAAATATTATAAAGTTCTGATTCGTTACATTAGCTAAAATAAGAATGATTTTATTTACAAAATTGATTGACTGCATAAGCATGCCAATACT